TCCCCAATCGTGGGAGTCATTCAGAGCAGCGACGAAGAGAGTGAGTGTGCGGAGGAGAGAGAGAGAGAGAGAGAGAGAGAGCTCGGAGTCAACGCGACTGCTTTATTTCCGCTTATCGCGACGCTGCAGGCTAGAGTGCAGCGTGACACGAAGGCACCCTACTGCATGCGACACACCGCGCGTCTCTGTCACGGTCCTTGGTGCCGCGGCGGAAGGCCTCCCCGAGGCGATAACCTTCAACGAGCGTGACCTCAGCGTCTGCGCGTACGCGGTAGTCGGAAGTCATTTGCATCCGTCGCCCTTCTTACTAACTTGCTTAGGTGTCCCTTTTTTATTCTTCTCGTCTCCTGGCCGCTGGTTCACACGTGGCTCGGTATACGATCGCGTGTTTCGTGCGACAGACGATGCGGATGCTCCGTTGCACCTCGCGATGGACCTCAGAGGGCGCCACGAGGCATCCAAGTCGATCCAATGACGTGCGAGTGTCATCACGTGACCTTCAGAAAGTGCGGAGTCACGTAATGTGTACACAACGCTGGACTGGTTTCGAAGGCCAGGTGGCGCAAGCTACCGCCCGTTATAGAGGGTAAAACCGTCAGCATCCATCCATTCTGCCTGCAGCGCCAACTGCAATCCATGTAGAGGTTTTCTTCTTTTATTTTTTTAGCTTTACAGGTTTGTAAAAAAAAAAAAAAAATCGTGAAAGCTACACTTATGCGGTTTGTCAGAGCTGGCCAAATTACTCATATTTTGTAATTAAATTACATTACTAATTACTTTGCTGAAAATTGCTGAAATGTAATTAAATTACATTACAAATTACCACAGCCAGAAAGTAATTAATTACCATTACAAATTACTTTAAAAAGTAATGACATTACTTTCGCATTACTTTTGTATACTTTTAAATATAAAGGAGCTATTGATAAGTTCCTTTTACAGATAATTTTATTTACATTATTTACACAGTTCATGGCACACAGCTAGAACTCTCGGTTGCTTGTTTACCGATGGACAGAGGAACGCACGCGACTGATCCGTTTCCCACCCCAACCCGGACAACTATTTTTGGAGATGACTGAGGACCCTACGCGGATTATCTCTGGCAGGGGGGACAACAATTGTCATTGATCCCAAAATCGCGCCGAGGGCCGTTCCACCAGGGGCCTTAGTTCGACCTACTTCCCCTCCTTCGTTTCCCGAGAATGTCGAGCAGAAAAGCTCGAATGGAAGGCACTTACCAGCCCTCACAGTGGAAGATAACACAGAGAGGGTACGCAGTATGCATCAGAAAAAGTAAGCGGAAACTTACAAGAGGGGTCAGAAAACGTCGAATGCAAAACTGCAAAACATAGGTAGAGAATCGCGCTGAGCGGGTTTTCACAGTTCAAGAGAGTGGCAGAAAATGTCTAGCTGATAGCGGGCGCGAGAGTCGCACCAGCCGCATTAGCATCAGTAACATAGCGGCGGCCAAAGAGCTTTTTTGGAAAAATGTAGAGGAAAAAGAAAAAGTAACATAAAAAGAAAAGTGCTCTTGTGTATTGTGGACACAAAAATATGCCTGGTGCGAAAAAGTAATTAGGTAATTTAATTACAATTACCGTCGCTGGAGTAATTCATTACATTACTAAATTACCTGCTACAAAAAGTAATGAATTACATTACTAATTACTGGAACAAGTAATTAAATTACTGTAATTTCATTACAGTAATTGCATTACTGCCAGCTCTGCGGTTTGTCGAGTTATACGGTTACAGGGGTAGAGGTACAGCGGGCTAATCGTAACGATCAGTCGGCTAATTAGGTAAAATTTGTTAATTAACTTTTTTAATTCGTGAAAATATACATATGATTCTAATTAGAAACTTGGTGAGCGTCATCGAAACCCGCTGAAACAACTATTTATAGAAATATATAAGGCAGGAGCATCCAGGTGGATTTTTTCGGTCGCGCACCAGTCATCTAGCTGTGTTCGGAGATTTGTGTTTAACATCGTTCAGCGGTAAAGAAAAAATGTTGTAACTAAATAAATTACACTTTTACAACGCTTATAATGGCACATATACTATTCGGCACAATCCAAATAACAAAAATCACCAACGTTATTTTCTGGCAAAGAGATAACTCGGTCGACGTCGTTTCGCCCCCTTCGAGGACTGTTTTTAACATTTCAGGAAGAGAGAAAAGCGTTTTCAGATAAAGCTTCAGCTATAGCTGACAAGAATGATTGTAAGCGCCGAGATGGCGAAAAGTGCCGTGGCTCCCCGAACCACCGCTTATGTAGTGCGCTCTAGTTAGCGCAGCAGCAACCGATCGTAGATATGACGCCGGAAGCCCCTCGCTAACCAAGGGACATCGATCGCGCGTACAGGATCAATGCGGTCGTCAGTTTCAACCCCCAAAACATTCGTTTCTCTCCTTTTCTTTTTGTTCACTCTAGCAGCGTTGCGGCGTTCAATGCCGTCCTTGCAGAATAGCAATTAATTTCGGGAGCTACTATTAGAGTTCTCGTGCACAAGCCCATTCGATATGAATTGATTTGGTCCCTTCATCTCCTCGTGGAATAACGATAATTCACCCCGTTCGAGTATATAGAATAACCGAATAACAGCATAACAGTAATTATAACCTTGCACACAGTAAGAACTAAACCACATTCCGATTATGGATTGCTCTTCGAGAAGGAAAAGGCCTTTCAGTCGTCCCGCCCCCGGCGCGAGCTTCCTCTTTTCCATAACAACTCTGCCTCTCGTGAACTTCGAGCGTGCACGCGCAGTCAAAGCAGGACCGAAGTCAACGATTAATACAACTTAATATTAATAATAATAAAACGAAAAGAAGCGAAAACGGATCGCAGAGATTGGCTCAAAGAGCCAATCTCTGCGATCTAGGAAATCACCTCAGCGAATGATGAGGCGGAACATCCATTTAGAACTAGAAATGAAGTCTGCGCTGTGGCATTACGCAATGAAAAGCGTCATGCTTGCATTGCGTAATGCCACAGCACAGACTTCATTTTGAAGTCTGAAGAGATGTTCCGCCTCATCATTTGCTGAGCTGATTTCGTAGATCGCAGAGATTGGCTCTTTGAGTGTTTTGCGGGTAAGTAGAGGCGCAGGCATTTCTTAGTAGGTCGGCATTTTGAGCCCGACCTCACTCACACTCACGATCACCCCAGTTTCCCTCGTCAAAACTAACTCACACTCTCAATCACGATTTATTCGAAACAGGGTCATTACAGACACTCACCATATCACGACTGAACGTGAAACTAAAAGTCGCTCCCACTCACCATCACGATTTATTCGAAACAAGGTGATCATACACACACTCACCAACGTGATTAAACACGAAACCAGAACTCACCCACTCACGTCATCACGCTCACAGATCATCAGACTCACAGCTCATCCCGCTCATCAAACTCACTGCTCATTACACTCACTCTCTCCAAACTCACTCAAAATTAGTTATCGCCCTCACCGTAGCCGCGGCGCTGGCGCTCGTGTAGCGAAAAAGGGGAGCAAATAAAATATGCTCCGCTTTATCGTCTTTCGATTTTCCTTTCCTTGTGTAAGATCGATGAGCAGAACTTTCGTCGGCACACTTGTCGCGCTCTCTTCTACGAAACGGTAAACGCGTATACACGAGGCAAACAAAGCGACGACTGTCACGAGGAAGCACACAGCGGGCCGGAGGAACAAGCGCTGACCCCGACAAACAATCGCTATTGTACCGAGGTCGGGCCAAGTTCGTCACTACACCTGATACGGCAACAAAGACTCGAATAAACAAAAAAAGAAGACAGTTGCGCGTTAGGCACCGAGCAGGCGTCAATGTCGACAGCCACGGCGGGAGACAGGGCATCGTTTGAACGACTCGACAGTCGTTGTGCAGCAGAAATGAAATACAATAAGGAGCACGCGCGACAAAGCAACATCGGCCCAAAAGAAAAGAGGAAGAATGTCACGCGACTACTACACCCCTACACAACGCGGTTGGGGACCCACTAGTGATGACGTCATACGTAGGACGTCGGTAACGAAGCGTTACCTCACCGGAGTTGTATACACAACGCAACCATAAAACGTCTCCCTTTACGATGCAAGGGGAAACGGTGTATGGTTGCTATGTGTACGTCACTTCACTTGTAGTGACTTACACGATGTAGTGACCTTCAAAAACTTATCGCACCTAGTGCTTCGATAAACAAATATGCACACAGAAAGAAACGTCAATACGAATAGAGCCATAAAGAGAAAATAGAGAGTTTTAGTAGATCGTTCCGATACCTCCGATAGCCCCGATAACGATACTATGCATGCTCAAGGGAGGCGGTGGCGGAGTATCGGGTATTGTTATCGGAGTCATGGGAACGATCTACTAAAACTCCCTATTCAAACCGAATCCGAAGTGACTGTTTGGTATGAATTGGTCGTCTGCAACTTGTTATTCGCAATTTTTTCTTTGTCGTTGTACTACTATTGTTATTGCCGAAAAATGTGATTTCATCGGAGCGTTTTTGATGTTTTTTTTTCTTCTCTTGTCGACAGTAATTATTATCGTATTTATACTATAAAGCTGCATCGAGGCCTCGTAAGACCATCTGGTCTTTTACCTTGATTCCGCAGATAATCTGCATTGTCTAAAAGAACTCAAACAAGAAAAAAAGAAAAAAAAAGTACATGTTCTTTTGGAGTTTGTAAAAATCAAGCCTAAATACAAAAATAAAGCGCTAAGGAGAGAGTGCTGTTTCCTATTTGTCAAGCAGGGCTAAACGACTACTAGCATACAGGAGGCCATGCCGTCAGTCACTAAAAAGACGAGAACGGCAGTTGGCTTCCTCATCATACTTTGGCTACAAGTTCTTGGGGCTCACGAGCCGCGCGAAGTGTTATCGGAAGCCCGCCCTTGAAGTGGGACAAGTGAAGGACCTCACTGCCGTTCTCATCCTACCAGTGACTATGGGCCATGTGATCGCACGAATCTTACAACTCACCTTCCTGAAGCCCGTGAACATGCGCGTGATGGTCTTGCTCTGCTTCCTCGCCGAACACACCAGGAGCAACCACTGGGGAAAGAGCTGCTGATGGGCCGCCAGCAGCTCGGCGATGGTCTTGCTCGCGTTGCCCGATGACGAAGATTGCTGCTGCTGCTGTTGTTGTTGTTGCTGATGCTGAGACGGTCCTGCAGCGTTTCCGTTTGCCTGCGACACGCCAACCCGATCCGTTCTGATCGAAGGCTATCCGCTCACCCTATACCACCGAAACCACGACCCGTCTGCGTTCCCAAGACTACGGTCCACTCGAGCACGGATCTTTGTCAAGGAGGTCAACGGACCTTCGTCAAGGAGGTCACGTGACAAGTTGGGCGGACGAGATCGGTGCAGCTGGCTCGTGGCGTCTCTCTCGGCGGTCGACCTCTTCGAATCCTCCGCTGACCTTACTGCGCCAAAGCGACGGCTGCGCAGCTCTACGACACGCGGTGTGCAGGCACAAGCGCAACGCGAGAGAAATGCCCACGGTCATCGGCTACTTTTCGCGACTTTGCGAATCGACCGATCCGAAGACTTCCAAGCGCCCTTGTAATTTTAGTAGACACAGCGCTTCAAGAGCCTGACAAGCGACGGTGGACGGCTCACCGACGACTAGACCTGTTGCAAAACGTCCGCGGCTTCAAAAGGAATGCCGGGAATTATCTGATTGTAAAGAACCGTTAGTAGCAGACGACGAAGGCGACGGAGAAAACTCAGGCGAGCAGCTGCGCTACCCCTACCCAGACTGCCCTCCGCTCCATCTCTTTCTCTCTCGTCTTCTTCAGCGTCAGATGGTATATGCGGTGGAAACTATACGTGCTCGTTGGCCCAGACATACGTCTGTTCTTCGGCACGTCACCACGCGCTGAGAGCGGGCTCAGGTGATGAAAGGAGGCGGTTGATCGGCCCGGCGAGCGCATCCCACCGCACCGTCAGCTTAGGGCCTTCGCGCCTGACCTCTTGGGATTTTCGCAAAAGGCCTATCGACGGCCCCGTCGACCATGCATGGACGTGCCAAGAAGACCCACCTGAACGAGCAGCGACTCGTCGACGGAGTCCACCAGGAGCAAGCAGGGCTGCGGTGGCGCTTCGATCTCGAGCAGCGGGAACAAAACGCCCCTCTTGAACGCCTCGTCGGGACACCGGTCGCAGCGGGAACCATCCAGAGCCGCGGACGCCTCGGCGTCGCGCAGCCGCTCCTGGTAGCCTTCCAGCAGCTCCCCGCGCTGGCACAGCTGTCGCACCAGGCTCAGCACGAAGCCGGACACGTCCAGCGTGGACGTGTCGTGGGCCTACGCCAAGGAGGACCGCGAAGATCCCGAGGGTCGGTGGGGAGCAGAAGAATAAACCCCGTCTTGCAGACGACAGTTGCCATAATGGCCGATCGGATACCATTAATGCGCATGCGCGGGCGTCTCAACGACCGCGGTTAAAATCCACCGTCTGCAGAACGGGTTGCTGAAAAGCCTCTAAAACGTTTAATGAAGTGTTTAATTAAAAAACGCCCAAGACTGGGATAGAAAATGGTAAAAGCAGTAGAAGAGAGGGGGTGCTACATCAAGAGAACACAGCGCGCAAACGACGAGGTCACAAAGAAAGAGAACGACAGGCATTTGTGTGCGCTAAACTGGTGCCAAAAAACGCCACTTCATAACTTGCGTGTAACAAGAGGAAGTGAAGTCAAGCTCGTTCGATCCAGTCCCCGCCGGTGTCGATCTGGACAGCGCAGTCCCGGCATGCGTTCGTGCAATCAATAGGGAGTTTTCGTAGACCGCGTTTCCCCCTCCGCTAAGCCATCCGCAACGAAAAAGTTGCTACTGCGCCTGCGCGCCGATAGCCTTGACTGTAGAGTTCCGGGTATCGTAGCAAGTTGCGGAGAGCATTGCGGAATGGTGAAAACGGTCTACGGAAACTCCCTATTACTGCGTTATGCACGTTAACGACCACAGGGTCGGCGGTCGTGCTGAATTGCCCAAATTTATTATGGCGTGAACCAGTGTCACCATATACAGAACGACCTCAAGCTGTGCACGTCTAATTTACATTTTCTGGCGTTTGGCTCACTGCAAAAGCAACATTTGCTTAGCACGAAGTTGGAACGTACATATAGCTCTATTACTAGTATAAGACAGCGCACAGACCGCAGCCTACCGGTCTTCTAGTTTTGAGGCTAGAAGAAAGGCACGTTTCTAACCTCTCACCTATATAGCCCGCCTTGAGGCTATAGGTTTGAGACTAGCGTTATGCTACTGAGGCAGCGCTTGAGGCTTAGCTTGGCACGAGGCTAAGCATGGCTTGAGGCCTGACTTGAGGCTAGGCTAGAGGACAGTCGCGTCGATCGTTATTAACGACTGAAGTCACACGGTTCCCGCGAAGACTCCTCCCGCTCACCTGGCAGAAGTGGTAGGCCAACAGGCGCCGGCTCAGCGCGTGCTGCCTTGCCCCAGCGGGTCCCGTCGGGTCCACCATCTCCCGGAAGAAGGCGGTCTTGCCGCACCCCGGTCCTCCGACCACCAGAGCCCCGCACGTCTTGGACGAGGGTCGCTGGTCCAGGCAGTGCGCCAGCTTGCTGAAGGCCCACTCCCGGCAGTAGAACCGACGACGCCGCTGCTGGCACGGCGCCTCGGCGTCCGCCGCCGGGCCCTCCGGGCTGCTACCGCTCATGACGTGGCCGCCGACGTCGTCGATGGCCTCCTGGAGGTCCACGTCCCGGTCAGAGGGGTCCCTGACCGCCGCCGGACGTCCGTCGTCACCTTCGGTGCCGTCGGCGGTATTCGTCGCCAGGTCTTGATCGGGTGGCCGTCTGCCGGACGGCTAGGAGACGTCATCGTCCCCTTCCTGGTTCCTGAAAGCGGACATGGAGAATCGTTCGTGCTGTGGCCCCAATGTCCAACGAGACATCCAACGAGCTTGAATATCCAATAGAACACGTCCAATAGACATTCAAACACGGAATCAATCGTGATCCCGTCGTGTCTGAATTCTGCCAGCTGGAAAATGTTTCTCCATCTGCTAAAAGAGAGAATCCATTGTAATGTGTGACTGACAGCTTTAGGAACGCAAGGCGTGGTCTTTTATGTTGACGCTTTCTGCTTCGTGATTCCTCTATACGGCGTTCTTACCGGCAGATACCGCAATACCACCGGCCACGCCACGCTGTGCATTGCTTAACGACTACACTACAAGTAAAAAGGAGCGTCGGAGCGAGGCACGTGACGACGCCCCGTCGGGGGGCCCTCAGGCGCTGTGTCGTAATCTCACCCCGGCGCTCTTATTGGCTCACTACAGGGCCAGCTTTCATCGTTTGCCAACGTATGCCGGAACGAAGTACAGCAAAATAAACTCAAAGAGGGGCTATCTCTCGTTGTTGTTTTTTTTTTTTCTGGTAAAACATGATGTCTTAGGCGGGTGATATTTATGTATATTCATTTCGTATTATCTTCAGTCATAGCCTCCTCTATGCTCACAAAGCCTGGCAGATCGTCACGTGACGCGGCCCCAGAAAGTGAAAAGGTAGAGCGGCAGAGTAGAGTCATGTAACGGGCGCCCCGCTGCGGCGAGACACTCCGAAACACACTTGTCCCGAGCGATAGAATGTCCGCTCGTGCTTCTCGCGTTCCTCGGGCTACCGTTTCTCTCCTCGTCGGGCTTGAAAACCATGTTTCAGGTCCTCTCCGCTGCAAAAGCTGTGCGCTGAATACCAGGCTGCCCGAGAAATGCTCTGTGCTACCAGATCCTCGCGCGCCAAATCTGCGACCGGGCACTCTATGGGTCCGTCATCGAGCTGCCAGGCTTTGTGAGTATAGAAGAGGCTATGCTTCAGTATACCACTATTAAGATGCCGGGAAGGCGACTGCGACCGGTCTGTTTATTGATTGTCCCACCTACCAACCCATGCAACGAAAGTGGCCCCCGAAATGGCAACAGATGAAGTCACAGGAGTCGGCATGTCATGGCGTCGGATGTCGCGATCCTGGAGGCTGGTCGTGGAACTTTCGGCAAAAGGGATGAGCGAATAGAAGTGTCTCAGTCGTCGGGGAGGGCTAACCCATTGGAAATTTGAACCGATTCTTGCGAGTTAAGAGTTCTTAAAAAACGTTCGAGAAAATTAAGTTTTAAACATAAAAAACGTCAGAATCACAGCATCGAAACGTCTCGCCACCAATACATTAGCGGATATTGCGATGGAATTTGATTGGTGAAGTACAGCAACAAGGACAAGTAGGAATGACAACCATCAGCGTGGTATACAATGGTGCCGTGTACACCATTTCCGATGTCACATGCCCAAGCACGACGGACCACTAAAAGCGCGTTCTGCAATCCAAGAAAAATGAACGTCAGTGTCGCTGTCGTCACCAGGGTATACGCTTTGTAACGGGCGGTAGCTTGCGCCACCTAGCCCACCACCGCTGCTGCTGCTGCGACACCGCCAGGATCGCGGTCGGCGACAACGTGACACTTCCGTGACGTCATGGGCAGAAATCGAGGGACTACTTTTTAGTGCGCCGGAAAACACACAAGTCGGAGATGCATTCCACGCACCATGATCCTTTGCGTCGTGCGGCGTGGTCCCGGGACGCGATACGTTACGGTGTCAAGTCGCGTCGTCACGTGACGCCAAAACTCGGAAATTTCCCCGCTAGATTTAGCGCGGAAATCGACGTCCCGTGACCTGGCGCGAGTCGACGTCAAAGTGTCGAGTCGTGGTGTCATGACGTCACGGAACGTCGAGTGCACGGGCAGACAAATTTCCGCGATCAAGAGGTTCCGTAAAAAAAGTTCCCTCCAAGTCGTTACTCTAAGTGTACACGCTCGTGGACGGTGAAGAAGGCAGTAAAAGGCTGACAAGTGAGCGCTCTGTTGATGATACGTGGCCGCTGTCGGGGGGCCCTTTGCTCGGAAACGGCGCGGCCGCAGCCCAGAGCGCAGAAATGGCTATTTCGGGTGCGCCACGAAGGCTCTCGCCCGCCCCCCTGCAAGCCCAAGCACGCGCGAAACGCGACCCAACCCCCCCGACATCAGCAAAAAGGCATCCACGCGCGAGGGCGTGCGAGGCATCAAAGGATAGTCAGGCACGCGGGAAGAGGGGGGGAGGGCACCCAGACGCGACAATCGAGATTGTGTACACAAACCTCAGAAATATATATTACCCGACATACACGCATGCGAGGCTTTAGACAGACACTCGATTCAAAAAGGGCTCCGAGAATAGCGAACGTGTTAAAACCCTCCCCAAAAAGCGGCCGCCCTTTTTAGCACCCGCAATCAAACACTATCTAAAAAAAAAAAAAAAAAAGAAAAGAGGAAATGTAAAAAGGAAGAAACATGCTTCGGCTTTCGCAAAATTCCTACGTCCAATACTCGTCTGGGCGTCACGTCAACTGTGACGTCCGTCCAGACAAGTTCCTCCTGACGTCACCCGATTTCACCGTGTCACGTGACCAGGTCACGAGGTGCCGCCCCGTCACGTGATACCGTGGCGACACGTGACCATACCACACTCCGTATTGTTATGGCGTACTTCGAGTTCAAAAATCGCCTCCTGCAGTGCGCTGCCATCTTTGTCTGCTGGGCTGTGGAGCGCCCTCTGAGCATGCGCTGTAGCTCTGTCGTGCTGTCTATCGGACGCTGCGCATGCGTCCACAGCTCAGTGACTCAGCATTTTTTTTTTTTCGGAACTAATAAATGAGGTAAATACGTTCTCCCAACCCCGACCCGAAAAAGGAAAAGGACTTTGCGTCGAAAGAGCAGAGCGTGAACGAAACTTCAGGGTGGGCCCAGAAACCGAGACTATGACTGGGCTTAGAAATGTGATAATTCTTACTAGGGCTGAGTATCGATTAAAAATGTTAACCCGATTAATCACCATCCTTTAATCGATTAATCGGTTTCGTTCATTGTCATCATAATAGTTAAAAAGAGAGTGAAAATTAAATTGTTTGCCTCTGCTGAGTACGTAATAAACGGCGGAATGTAAAATTTCGGATTTTAAATAAACCTCGATGCGTAGTTGAGAACGCTCAAAAGGCACCCACCCTCAGAAATGATTACTTCAGCTGCAAAGGCAAAGAAATTCGTTGATATTCTGCAACAATAGAGAGAGCTCCTTTGATTTTTCAGAGTAGTCTCCGCTGCGCTAGAGGGGAACAGACAGTATTGAGGCTGTCCAAAACCGTGCTGCCCGGTTCATTGCATCTGACTACTCACGTTTTTCTAGTGTTACTCGAATGAAATCTGACCTTTCTCTTCCCTTACTTGCTACCCGACGGAAAATGTTTCGCCTGTGCCTATTCCATAAAGTCTATTATTCCCCTCTACTACATCAGACTCTTCTCACTCCGCCAACCTATTCATCCTCTAGACTAGATCACCCGAAAAAAATAGCCCGGCCACGATGTTTTTCCACAGCTCATCAAAACGCCCTTCTCCCCGAGGAGGAGGACAAAATATATTTATTAATCGTTTTACGCTGTGGGGTGGATCCTCAATTCAGGTACGCATGTGCTGTCCTGGCTCGATCGGCCCACTCCACCAGCAAGAGCTGATCTTGAGGGAGGGAGCTGGACAGCAGTGTCTCCCACTGCTCGGGGGTAGGGGAAGGAAAAGGGGGTGACATGTCTGGGTTGTTGACGCACTCCCATATGATGTGTCTCAGGGTGCCGGGTTGGTTACAGAGTTGACATTGGGCGTCGAATTGTGTGGGGAATAGCAGGTGCATCCTAATTAGCGGCGAGATGTTTTGGTGGCGCCCTCTTATAGTTCCCCCTTGTGACGTCATTACCTTGCGAACAACAAGTTCGATGGTGTTTGTTATTAGCATGGTGGAAGCCTGCAATCATTGCGCTCTCAAAGCAACACTGCCAACACCGTCAAAATTAAAGTTCTTTCATTCCTCTTATTTCCGTCGATGGTATACCCTTTCCGACGTCATAGTCAGCTTTTGGGCCAATCGTGGAAGGCCGACCACAGCGACGCTTTCGGTCGCGCACGTCGCCAATTGGATGGGGAAATGTGTTAGTCTGTAGTAATCTGAGTGTGGTTTCCTGACTTCTCGTGAGGGAAGGGTGTGGTGCGGGTAATGTTCTTCTGTTGAGCCTGTAATGTTGTGTAATTTCTTGATAGGTCGTGAGGGGTGAGGGTTCCAGTGTCTCCTCCATGGCCTGGTGGGCGAGGTCTCGGGCCGTGAGATGGGCGTGTTCGTTGCCTCTCATGGAGGAGTGGGCAGGGGTCCATACAATGTCGACCTGCCTGTCCGGTGCCTTGTTTTCCAGGATATATACGTAGCCTGACAGGTGCCACCCAGCCCGACTGGAAGCTACGGCATGCCTCTTGCGAATCCGTGATTATTGTGGAGGTTTTGGTTTGTGTGAGGGCGAGGGCGATGGCAAGCTCTTCTGTTTCTTTAGCCGTTCCCCGTGGGACGGAGGCGCTGGTCAGGTACTTGTGCCCGTCTGTCACCACGGCCACCATGGCTCGTTTGCCGTTGTAGTTGGCTGCGTCGGTATACGTCGTCGTGGGTATTCTGGAGTATGTCTCATTTAGTGCTCTTGCTCTTGCTGCTCTGCGGCCCTGATGGTGGTTCGGGTTCATGTTTCGAGGGATTGGGTAAACAAAGATGTGTTGGCGCCACGATTCCGGGAGCGCCAGCGGCAGGGTCTGGTCCCGTGGAACCTGCTTGAGTTTAATCAGCAAGTTGCGGCCGGTTTGAGTGTGAGCGAGTCGTGTCCTTTGACTTGACAAGTGGCCCTCAATGAGTTCCCCCACGGTGTTATGTAGCCCCATACGAAGTAGCTTGTCCGTAGATGCGTTCACGGGTAATCCGATTGCCTGTTTCAGCGTCTT